CGTCACTGCGTCGTCATGGTGCTCCTACCTTATCAATCGAAAAGACACTCAAAACTCAAATTTTTATTATTATTATTATTATTATTATTATTATTATTATTATTATTATTATTATTATTATTATTATTATTATTATTATTATTATTATTATTATTATTATTATTATTATTATTATTATTATTATTATTATTATTATTATTATTATTATTATTATTATTATTATTATTATTATTATTATTATTATTATTATTATTATTATTATTATTATTATTATTATTATTATTATTATTATTATTATTATTATTATTATTATTATTATTATTATTATTATTATTATTATTATTATTATTATTATTATTATTATTATTATTATTATTATTATTATTATTATTATTATTATTATTATTATTATTATTATTATTATTATTATTATTATTATTATTATTATTATTATTATTATTATTATTATTATTATTATTATTATTATTATTATTATTATTATTATTATTATTATTATTATTATTATTATTATTATTATTATTATTATTATTATTATTATTATTATTATTATTATTATTATTATTATTATTATTATTATTATTATTATTATTATTATTATTATTATTATTATTATTATTATTATTATTATTATTATTATTATTATTATTATTATTATTATTATTATTATTATTATTATTATTATTATTATTATTATTATTATTATTATTATTATTATTATTATTATTATTATTATTATTATTATTATTATTATTATTATTATTATTATTATTATTATTATTATTATTATTATTATTATTATTATTATTATTATTATTATTATTATTATTATTATTATTATTATTATTATTATTATTATTATTATTATTATTATTATTATTATTATTATTATTATTATTATTATTATTATTATTATTATTATTATTATTATTATTATTATTATTATTATTATTATTATTATTATTATTATTATTATTATTATTATTATTATTATTATTATTATTATTATTATTATTATTATTATTATTATTATTATTATTATTATTATTATTATTATTATTATTATTATTATTATTATTATTATTATTATTATTATTATTATTATTATTATTATTATTATTATTATTATTATTATTATTATTATTATTATTATTATTATTATTATTATTATTATTATTATTATTATTATTATTATTATTATTATTATTATTATTATTATTATTATTATTATTATTATTATTATTATTATTATTATTATTATTATTATTATTATTATTATTATTATTATTATTATTATTATTATTATTATTATTATTATTATTATTATTATTATTATTATTATTATTATTATTATTATTATTATTATTATTATTATTATTATTATTATTATTATTATTATTATTATTATTATTATTATTATTATTATTATTATTATTATTATTATTATTATTATTATTATTATTATTATTATTATTATTATTATTATTATTATTATTATTATTATTATTATTATTATTATTATTATTATTATTATTATTATTATTATTATTATTATTATTATTATTATTATTATTATTATTATTATTATTATTATTATTATTATTATTATTATTATTATTATTATTATTATTATTATTATTATTATTATTATTATTATTATTATTATTATTATTATTATTATTATTATTATTATTATTATTATTATTATTATTATTATTATTATTATTATTATTATTATTATTATTATTATTATTATTATTATTATTATTATTATTATTATTATTATTATTATTATTATTATTATTATTATTATTATTATTATTATTATTATTATTATTATTATTATTATTATTATTATTATTATTATTATTATTATTATTATTATTATTATTATTATTATTATTATTATTATTATTATTATTATTATTATTATTATTATTATTATTATTATTATTATTATTATTATTATTATTATTATTATTATTATTATTATTATTATTATTATTATTATTATTATTATTATTATTATTATTATTATTATTATTATTATTATTATTATTATTATTATTATTATTATTATTATTATTATTATTATTATTATTATTATTATTATTATTATTATTATTATTATTATTATTATTATTATTATTATTATTACTATTATTATTATAGCATATCATCATCTTTACTCTTAGTAGCCTCATCATCATCATAATAATTATTTTTGAACCGTATTCACTGTGACAACTGTAGACATTCTTGTATTTTGAAGATATTCATTCTCATTCACACATTTTCTACAGTTATTCCTTTTATTGCTATCATCATCATTATTACTTTTTTCGTCATAGCATCATTGCTGTTCTTGTTCTTATCATCATAATCATCACCGTCATCATCATCATTCTTACTCTTAGTAGCCTCATCATCATCATAATAATTATTTTTGAACCGTATTCACTGTGACAAATGTAGAAAGTCTTGTATTGTGAAGATATTCATTCTCATTCACACATTTTCTACAGTTATTCCTTTTATTGCTATCATCATCATTATTACTTTTTTCGTCATAGCATCATTGCTGTTCTTGTTCTTATCATCATAATCATCACCGTCATCATCATCATTCTTACTCTTCGTAGCCTCATCATCATCATAATAATTATTTTTGAACCGTATTCACTGTGACAAATGTAGAAAGTCTTGTATTGTGAAGATATTCATTCTCATTCACACATTTTCTACAGTTATTCCTTTTATTGCTATCATCATCATTATTACTTTTTTCGTCATAGCATCATTGCTGTTCTTGTTCTTATCATCATAATCATCACCGTCATCATCATCATTCTTACTCTTAGTATCCTCATCATCATCATAATAATTATTTTTGAACCGTATTCACTGTGACAACTGTAGACATTCTTGTATTTTGAAGATATTCATTCTCATTCACACATTTTCTACAGTTATTCCTTTTATTGCTATCATCATCATTATTACTTTTTTCGTCATAGCATCATTGCTGTTCTTGTTCTTATCATCATAATCATCACCGTCATCATCATCATTCTTACTCTTCGTAGCCTCATCATCATCATAATAATTATTTTTGAACCGTATTCACTGTGACAACTGTAGACATTCTTGTATTTTGAAGATATTCATTCTCATTCACACATTTTCTACAGTTATTCCTTTTATTGCTATCATCATCATTATTACTTTTTTCGTCATAGCATCATTGCTGTTCTTGTTCTTATCATCATAATCATCACCGTCATCATCATCATTCTTACTCTTAGTATCCTCATCATCATCATTAGTTTTATTGCTGTCATCATCATTACTACTTTTATCATCATTATCACATTATTATCATTATTATTGTTGTTATCATCACCATCATCATACGTACATCCAAACCTTTCCTAGAGACTCCTCACCCCGTCCACCTACCCAGCGTTATCATTATCACCATTATTACAATTAGTGTTGTTACAAGCATATTATCGATTTTGATTATTACAACCCCGCACCCCCACCCCCCTTCAAACACCCACTTGGCCATAACAGGATGTATCCCCTGCAGCTGTAGGAGAACACCCATGTCCTTATCGCCTCTGAACATCCTTGTGAAGAGAGACCCGTCGTTAAGCGCCAGGACCCCAGCTCTCCTGTGTTCCTCCTGGGACTTCCTTGCCTCAGCTGCCTCGCGTTCCTTCACTTTCCCCTTTTCTTCTTGCGCTTCCACGACAGACACTTCCGATCTGGGGATGAAAGAAAACGGGAGGTCCGGAGGGAGGAAAATGGGAAAATAGACGACGTGAGAGGAGGAATATAATTTTTTGTACTTTGAGAGATAAGAGTAATGAGAGGTTTGACTGTAATTTGTTTTTAATAGGGAATAGGTTAAAAATGTATGGCCTTTTTTATCCCTCGACTATTGAGATTACTACTGGGGAAATAGAAGTTAATGAAATGATTTTTTAAGAAAGGATAAGGTTTAAAATATTTCTTTTTCTTGTGCCTCAGCGACTGAGACTTCCGATCTGGGAATTTGAAAGTTATGAAAGACTAAGAAGGGAGAAAATGGAAAAGAATTAACGAAGTGGGAACAGCATGATTTTTATTATGTTATCTCGCGTTTCGACTAAGAAACTACTGGAAAAATAGGGAAAGGTATGACTGAAAAGAAGGAGAATATTGAGACTACTGACCTGATTTAGATGGGAGACAATGTAAAAGAAATAAATGAAGTGAGAGATCAGGGGCATTTTTTCACTTTTTCTCTTGTGTTTCGAAAAGAGGCTTCTGACCTGAAATAAGACGGATAGTGAAAATGGAAAATAAGAAAGAATATCGGTTTAAAAGCCCTCGACATCTTATGCTTTGGCTAGTACCACTTAAGACCCGGATATATAAATAAAAGAAAGACAAAAAACAGACATTCAAATGGAAGAAAAAAACGAACCTAAATGAAACGAAAGCACCGTCATAACTACCGCCATAATTACACCACCTACTTGTACTGAAGGGCAGCCTCGGCGTGAGCAGCTGGGGTGACACGTCGCTGGTCCAGGTAAGCCAGGCGGGGCAGGTGAGCCAAGACGAAATTCGGGTAGCGCGAGTCACACATGGGGTTCCCAGCTAAGGTCACGCTCGCTAGTTCTTCCAGTACGCGAAGTGACCTGACCTGTTGACAATAAGCGAGGGTTTTATGGAGTACGTGGTTTTTCTCTTTCGTGTTGGTTATGAGGGGAAATATTTAGTGGGAATTTCTTAAAAAGTTGGTTTAGGTCTTCGCTGTTTGTGATAAGAAGTGTATACTGGTATTTGATGAGATAGGTAAGCGATTCCCTTATTAATGTGAACTTACTTCACGGTGATCAGGAACTTCATCGAGTGATCTTACCCCTTTGAGAAACGCAGCTATAGATTGAATAATCATGAACATTTTTTAAGTGATAGTAAGTAACAAA